GGTTCTTATTAGTTCTTATTGGCTTTGTCGTTTAGACAAGATGGTGAGAAGCTCTTATTTTACTGAGGACATCCATGAACGTTGGTGCCGACCTCTGCAACGGGTATCCAATGGATCGGCAACACTGGAGCGGCGGCCGTTGGAGAAGCCAGAAGCCGACAGTGGAGAGTCGTTCGGCAGGGACGCGTGTATATGTGCTGAGTATGTGTGTGTATGTGTGAGAGAGAGAAAGAGAGTGGGTGGGTTGGTCCCCCTGGTGAGTGGATGGATTAGGGTGAGTTGGTGTTGGGTGGGGCCCACAAGCTGGTTTGGGAGAAAAAAATACCACACTACCCTTACTGAATGTGAAATTTTGATTTTTTTTAGCCATTAGATCATCCGTTGTAATTGTTACAATGTATTCTTTTTTTTTTAGAAAACACCCCAGAGGAGTAGGGGTTAAGGTAGGACCCCCAACCTGTATATAATCAAACTCAGAATGGGTTGGGAAATCATAGATCTATAAGTTCATACAACAAGCAGAAGTAACCAAAGCTAGAAGCAAAAGAGAAAGAAAAGGAAAAAGGAGAAGAAAAGCAACAACCAAAGCAAAAAATCGAAAACTGGTCTAACAAGTGCTCATGCAAACAGTGTGTACATCAAGTGGGCAAAAACATAAAAGCCAAAATGACTACCTAAATCTGAAGGATGGGTAACCAAGTTGATCCATCCGCACAAGCGTGCGAAGGCGGATAGGTGCGTCGTCCGGTTGAAAGATGCGACGTCCGTCTGAAATCACAAATGCATTCTTATTTCTTTCACTCAGCATCATTTCACTAGAACTCATTCCTATATATATAATTATTATATATGCAATATATAAGTCATTAGAACATGGTAAATATATAGTTAACTTGATATATCATATATGAAAATCCAATAATAAATATGAAAATTATTAACTTTTAAAATATATTTATAATTTAATTTAGTATAATGGGAGCATGATTTTTTTTTTTCCCGAAACGACAGGCGTAACTATTATAAAACTCAAAGCGAACAAAGTTAGAATACAACCGGAAAATACAACCAACAGAGAAAACATGGGAGACACGTCACAGACGGTCTAGAGCCTCGACTAGAATAAAACCTCAAACACCAACTAGAAAAGAAAGAAAGTAACTCCAACCACTGCTTAAAAAGCCTAGCAACAAGTTACAATCTCTAACCAAACCAAAGAGCCAAAACAGTAAAGAGCCAAAACAGAAACAACAAAGAGCCAAAACAAAAGAAAAGAAGAACTAGTTAGCAGCTTTAAATGCAGCCAATCTGAAAGAGCCATTCTGACCAACACTTGATCTGGTATGAAGGTCTTTTGGAATATCCATAAGTTCCTGGACTTCCAAAGCCACCAAAGCTTATATGTAGAGAGTTGGATTCTTGCTTCGGCCACTTCAGAATGATCCAGAGAGCAGATTCTGTACCACCATTCATTGAAAGAGACATCCCTGCTGTTTAAGTCATTCCACTGAACTGGACTAAGTTTCCAGACATTCAAAGCTCTAGGGCAAGAGACAAAAAGATGCTGCAGATTTTCTTGAGCTTCACCACAGAGTGTACAGGTGATGTCAATGTGCAGTCCCCTTTTCCAGAGATTAGAGGCAACAGGAAGAGTGCCACTGAGACATTTCCACATAAAGAACTTAAGCTTAGGAGCTATCTTCAAGTGCCAGAGCCTCAGTTTAGCAGATTTCTTAATGTTAGCAGCCCAACTGCTTTCTGGAAAATCAGCCTGCATAAGTTTTTGGTGAGAGAGGTGCTTATATGTGCTTGACACTGAAAAGACACCCTTTTTATCCAAGCCCCAATAGTATCTATCATTTCTGTCAGGATGCAATGTGCCTATGTCTAGAATAGCTTTGCTATCAACTTCATCAAAAACCTGATGGACAAGCCAGGTATTCCACTGAGAGCCATTGGACTGCAGCAACTCCCTGACCCATATTAAATGACCCCTGGCAATAGGTATTAAGGTAGGGGAAGGCTTTTGCAGCTTTGGAACCCAATTGTGATCATCAATTCTAGTATTTAGACCATTTCTGATCTCAGTTTTAAACCACTTAGCAAACATTGGCAAGACATCCATCCAACTGTTCCACATCTAGGAACCACCATTGATTTTTTTTGCATTAACAATGGAAGAGTTGGGAAAGTACCTGTCTTTGAGCACTTTGCTGACCAGGAGGTCTGGATTTGAGGTAACTCTCCACAATTGCTTGCAAATAAGAGCTTTGTTAAACAGTAGAAGATCAAGAAACCCAAGGCCACCTGATTGTTTTGGGAGTGTGAGAAAACTCCATTTTTTCCAAAAAATACCCTGGCTAGCTTCAGAGTTTGACTTCCACCAGAAGTGAGCACAAAGTTTGGCAAAATCAGCACATAGAGTGGCAGGCAGCTTTAAACAAGACATTGAAAATATAGGTAAAGCCTGGATAACAGCCTTTAAGAGGACAACTTTTCCAGCAGAACTGAGAAGCTTACCTTGCCACCCTGAGAGCTTTTTCCTAACAGCCAGGAGTAGATAGTCAAAGACTTCTCTCTTGTTCTTGCCAATGCCTAAAGGGAGGCCAAGATACCGAGTTGATCTCTGGGCAACAATGCCATTTAGAGTGGAGCAGATGGTAGATTGAAGGGTCTGAGGAGTGTTCTTGCTAAAAAAGATGCTTGATTTGTTTAAGTTGACTGCTTGGCCTGTGAAGAGCCTGTACTGTTCAAGGATACTCATAAGGATGCTAGCTTGGTCATTTCCAGCCTTGCAGAAAAAGAGTGAATCATCTGCAAATAAGAAACGAGAAAGCAAGGGGCTATTTCTGGAGATTTTCATCCCTTTGAGCAGTCCATTGTTGATAGAGTTTAGGATCAAAGCAGATAATAGCTCAACAACAATAATGAAAAGATAAGGGGATAAGGGATCCCCTTATCCCCTTAATAATGAATAGAAATCTAGATCTATATTGACTACCAAAAATTGACATATAAATTATGAAATACATAATATGACTTGTAAGTTCGAGAAACATCTATAACTCAAAAACACCAGAAATTACACATGATTGTTAAGCACTGCAAATCAACTCATAAAATTATGATATTCCATAATTGACATATAAGTTCAAGATACTCTTATATATAGAGATGGATTTTGAATATTTAGTCACATATTATTTTACAAATTTAATTGGTAAGTTTAATCTGAGAAAACATTAATTATTAGTAACCTATTTATACTACTTGAATTATATTTAATATTTAAGCTTTTAAATCATTGTTTTATTTTTTATAACATATTTTTTGAAACGTTTTATTTATTTAACATACTAGTATGAAAATAACACGCGTGTAATGCATGAGTGCTGATTAAAAAAATATATATACATAATATTTTTTTAATGAAGTTTTATTAAATATTATATTTTTAAGGTTACATTATTATTTTATTTAAAATGGCATCCATCATCCTGATTCGTTCGACCTGTTTCATAATAATTTTATTTTAACACATATCATATAATTCTGTTTGATTGATAAGCAAATTTTATTATTTTTCAATTATTGATTGATGGATAGTTTAATTTTTATTTAAAATTTTAAAAAAATTATGAGATAAGTTTCAACATTTAAAAAAAGTCTCATCCTATCAAAATTTTCAAAAAATCTGATCACCAAACTTATTTAATACAAGAAGATTATAAAACTATTTAAATAAATTATAACCACACTCAAATATTTTTTCATAAGTACAATTGAAGAGGACAATTTTAACAACAATAAAACTAATATTAAAATAGTTAGACAACCATATATTTTCAGCAAATATGTATACTTTTAATTTTTTCATGCTTTAAAAATAACATAAACTTTCCTATCTAAAAATAAAAATAACATAAACAAAAAGTACGACGACCGCCCAATGACTAATCTGTCTCATAAAAAAATTGCATTTTAACAAATAAGGGCATGCTTGTTTACAAATTAATTCATTTTCAATTCAATTCATACTCAAAATCTAACTCAACTTTAACTCAACCCCATTATCTTTAATATTATTCATTTAATTAAATAATACAAACCAATCATCCTTACACATCACATCAACTTTAATTCACTATTTATCCACTCATATATTTTTAATTACTTATCATTTCTAATCATTTATCTCTTACTTTTACATCAAATTAATATTAATTATTTTATTTTAAATATTATTTTAATACATTCTTAAAATCCCACTAACAACTAACCATATTACCTTTTTCAAAATTAACTCTAGTTAAACCAAAATAACTCATTTTGAATGAAATATTTCATCAACAAGCGCCCCTAAACTATCTTACATAATCATTTTGATAATTTTCTTAATTAAAATGGAGGACGACATGGCAAAATGAAATGCTATCCTCCTTCAGCTTCCACATATACAAGCTGCTTACCAATGAACTGATTCAAAGCCCAAAAATGGCGTGCAGAGTTCAACACTCCTTGCAAAGCAGCCTCCGCCTTTTCTCCTCATCTTCGTCTCCCTTTGTGCGCACCTCCGTCAAGTATCCAACAGTGCGCTTCAGAAATCCAAATCACAGAGCTTTCTACTGCACTTGCGCCGCCGTGGACCCTTTTATCGTCACCACACCGCTCTACTACGTAAATGCCCCTCCGCATATGGGAAGCGCCTACACCACTATCGCCGCCGATGCAATTTCCCGTTTCCAGGTTCGTTTCTCTGTTTATTTATTTATGTTTTATTATATTGAATTTGATTGCTGATTATTGTGAGGATTAGGTGAAAACTGATATTGAATGGACGGCTTTGTTTGATTTCTTTTTTTCTTTTCATGTATTTGTTGAAACATTGGCGTAGTCTAATTTCTTTTGTGGATGAAAAACAGCTGCTTTATACGTTCGAGTTTGTGAACTGGTTTTGCAGAGGCTTCTAGGGAAGAAGGTTATATTTATAACCGGCACGGACGAGCATGGGGAAAAGATTGCTACTTCTGCAGCTGCCAGTGGTTCCAGCCCCGGAGAACATTGTGATACGATTTCACAAGCTTACAAGGCAATCTGGACTGAGGTACATTCCACCTTCATATATTTAGGTTTGATACTTGAAATAGCCCTTTTTTGGTGATATCTCTGGTTTCTTGCGCATAACTCTGTCTTGTTGACAGTTGAACATATCTTATGACAAGTTCATTCGCACGACCAATCCCAATCATGAAGCCATTGTCCATGAATTCTATGCCAAAGTTCTTGCCAATGGTGATATCTACCGTGCTGAGTATGAGGGACTGTACTGTGTCAACTGTGAGGAATACAAGGTTACCCGTTTATCATTTACCGTACCTATCTACCCATACTGGAAAAACATTTTTTGTGAAGTTAGTAAGATATCCGAACTTAGGTAGCAGTGTAGGGAGATTGCTAATTTGTTGATTTTATGAATAGTGAACTTAGGTTTAGAAGTTTTCCTTTTGCTGTTTTGCTGGTTCTCTATTTTTTTGGTATTTGGTGTTGGACACTTGTCAAACTTCATAGGATAGCAGCCACTCTACTTATGTTCTATGGAGATGAAACACATGAGAAGACCATTGGTTCTCTTGGGTTTCATCTCTAGCCTACCCCAACTTGCTTGGGACTAAAAGGCTATGTTGTTGGTGTTGTATAGTCTCCATGAGTCCAATGAAAGGTATTATGTGCAATTTTTGTGTCACTAAAATGTGAAGATGAGTTCACTTCTAATTTGGCCATACATATGGTTTTGTGTATGTCAATATAGCCATATGTGTATGATTAGTACTTGAGCTGTTTTGGTAGCATGTGAGTCCCTGAAACTGGTTCACCTGTGTCATCTGTAGGATGAAAAGGAATTGTTGGAGAATAATTGCTGCCCAATGCACCTGAAGCCATGTGAATGGAGGAAGGAAGACAATTACTTTTTTGCACTATCAAAGTATCAAAAGCGACTAGAACAGATTTTATCGGAGAACCCAGACTTTGTGAAGCCTTCTTTTCGTTTGAATGAGGTTTTACAATTATGTGGGATTTATTCAAATAACTTCATTTGTGTTTGGTTCACCAAACTTTACATAATAAGCTCAAAAAATTGATCTGTGCCCCTGTTAGTTGAAATATGTTTCCGCATGATCATTTGTGTGAATCTATTGATGGCTCAATTTTCTCCCGTGACACTTTTTCTCAACAAAATATTCTAGGTGCAAGGTTGGGTAAAAAGTGGCCTTAGAGATTTCTCCATTTCTCGAGCATCAGTGAACTGGGGAATCCCTGTCCCTAATGATGCTAAGCAGACTATATATGTATGGTTTGATGCTTTACTGGGGTAATCTGTTGCATCCAGAAGTCTTGGATATTTATTGATTCTTTGTTTTTCTTTTGTCTTCCTTCATCCGTTGCTTCTTTATTTCTTCCGCGCCCAATCTTTCTTTTCCTTCTGTTCATTAGTATTTTAATGACAATTAGCAAGAAAGCAATGGCTTATCCGGATTTCTTTCTTTCTGTGACATCGATCATATTAACTTAGATTGCTGTGTTTATCCTTTTAAGTGGTTCAAAATGCTATTTCATAAAATTTCTAATGAATCTGTGCAGCTTCCCCCCCTATGAACTTTCTCTATTGTGACTTGTGAGTTATGAAAGCTGTGGTTTTGCTCTGATTATAATATTTTCTTGTAACACGTTAACATATTTTGGATCAAGGCTATGTTCTTCTGTCTGATTGTGTTTAAAAGAATGTCTGCTGATATGAACAACTTTCTGACACATGATCGTGAACAATTTTTCAGATGTGCTCACTTTCTTTGGTCTTTTATTTTTTATTCTTATGGCAATTCATTTATTCTGTTTCTCACTTCCTGATGTCTTGTCAACAGTTACTTATCTGCTCTTTCAGAGGATAATAATGAGCCTAACTTACATGCAGCCATATCGTCTGGTTGGCCTGCATCGGTACACTTAATCGGGAAGGTAGTGTTTCTTTTATTTTCTTTCCTTGTTTCTCAATTTTTTTTTTTTTTTTTTTTTTTTTAACTTTTTCGTTTTGAGATGTGGATAGTGGAATGTAGAACTTAAGAGCGGGAAGCTATTTTAACTAAGCATCTAGATATCCATCCAATCCAGGAGCTGAAGTCTTTTGTATCGTTAATTAATCTGACAAAAATTTTATTGGAGCTTAAAACATGATTTACGGCAGTATTCAAGGTGTCTCATCGATTATGGAACTTCCACGGAGTTTTTTTAGAATTTGTAATTTGTTGGAACAATTACTAATCTCACTCTCTAAGATAAATGGCCCAAAAACTAATAAAAAAGTTGAAGTACAAAACTACACTCTTATACCTAAATGTTATCTCTTTGAACTCTGTATTAGTGCTTATGATTACTTCGCCATTTGGTGTGCGGCATTATTCTACCTCAAGGGCAAAGGATTGATTTACCCATTCAAAGCAATTTACGCAAGGGGCTTTCTTTAACTGAATATATAATTTCTTGTTATGGAGCCCGTAAGGGGGTTGTGGATACTGCTGTATTTTAATTGATCAGAAATAGTTCAAAATAAATCTCTCCTATTATTTTGGTTTTTAATAATGTTACTGGAGGTACTTTATCAATTTTCAAAACAATATGCAGGACATATTGCGGTTTCATGCAGTTTATTGGCCCGCAATGTTGATGTCTGCTGGAATAAGCCTGCCAAACAAGGTTTTTGGGCATGGATTCTTGACGAAGGTATTCAACTTGGTCTCAGATAGTGTACTCATTCTTTTTTTCCCCCTTTTTCCCCTTTTAAATATTCTTTGCAGTTGCATTATATCTGTGGACGAAGCATGCACTCTTTGGTCATTTGTTTTGAAATCAGTTATCTATTTCTGTATATGCCATCATTCCTCGAATAAGTAGTATAGGGGTGTTCAAACTCCAACACGTAGTTTAAGGTCTTATCACTTCTCAATCTGGACTTGAATAATGCTTTGTTCTTCTAACCATATTGCTGTATTCTTAACAACTCATAATCTTTTGGATAATTTATGGTAACATGTTCTGGTAGATGTTCTATTACGTTTTTTGTTATGTGTTATACATAATTGCCTCTAGATCATGCCACCTTCTATTAAACTCAACTTAAAATAAATAATTAAGCATGCATCCTATATTTTCCTCATGTTCCAGACTGAATTAGAATGAATTAAACATTCTGTCGTTTTTCTGAATCCGTATTTAATCCAATTGAAAAATGTTTTATAATCACAAGGATGGATTAAAAATGGGGAAATCGCTTGGAAATACTCTTGAACCGACAGACTTGGTGCAAAAATTCGGAGCTGATGCAGTGAGGTATTTCTTCCTCAAGGAGGTGGAATTTGGTAGTGATGGGGACTACTCAGAGGACCGTTTCATCAATATTATCAATGCAAATCTTGCAAATACCATAGGTACTCAACTCACTTTTCCCCATTTATGTAAATTTTTCCTCATTTTTGTCAGTAAAGATATTAAAAGCAAAAGTTGGTGGTGTTACGTGGAGGATTTTACATTGCTAGGAAGTACTTGAGTTATATGCTTAAAAACCAGGTATCTTCCAGTAGAAGGTATTGCACCGGGGCAGATGTCTGGGTTTTATAATTACGTTCCATTAGTAAATGAGGCTTGACAAACTTCTATATCCAGCACATGTATTGTAAGATAAAAAGTTTAACCTGTTGGTAACAGTTAAAAGTCAGAAAACATAAAAAAAAAAATAGAAAAAATACAAAAAATAAAAGGAGCATTTATAACTTTGTCTCATGACATGAGGTAACTTAAGTCTGACCAAACTAGCAATCGAGGACATCTCTGTTTCTCCTATATTGTAACATAAAACCAAAACGATGAAGGCACACACACACATGACGTGCTTCTATTTTGGGAACTTCCAGTCATGCTACAAGAATGGATGACATACACTTTGGCATAATACATACGGGGAAGAATCCCAATGTATTACGTATTCCTCATTCTAAAAATCGTCAACCATTAAACTCACTCATCACTTTTTGTCAACCTTCTATGCCAAAGTAGCATTTTTCTGGTAACTTCACTGCATTTGCGTTATCGTAGCTCATGTCTAATTGTAACTTTCACTTAGGTAATCTTCTTAATCGTACACTTGGACTTCTGAAAAAGAATTGTCAATCCACAATTACCATTGATTCAGCAATTGCAGCAGAACAAAATGCATTCAGGGATACTGTGGAAAAGCTGGTAATGTCCTCTTATATAATTTAATCTTCTATAGTTCTATTATACTTTGAGGATTCTGCTCATTAGTAGAATTTCGGGCAAGTAGTTCATAGAACTTTAGACTATCTGTTAGTTTCTATCTTAAAATGTGGTGTGATATAACTATTGAACTAGTTAACCTATTGCCAGCGACTTCATAAAATGATAAAATCATTTAAACTCATCCTATATGTTGAACATAATGGGATATGATGAGATAGAAACAAACACAGGGGACAGGTTCCCTATTGCTAACTGTCAAAGTGAGCCACTTTATTCTGAATTCGTTTACTCAGAATGAATCAAATCTCCCCAAGTAGGATTAGAACCTGCGACCAATCGGTTAACAGCTTAAGAGTTCCATTCGATATGTCTTGTTGATGTAATTGAGTGTTTGGTCTCTTTGTAGTTTTGTCCTTATAATAGTAACCATGAAGTGGTATGAGGTCATTATTCTTAAGTTTGTGGCCAATTTTGGAATGATGATATTCATTCCTGGAAAAACAGATATTTCTTTCTCAATGGTCCAAGATGGAATGTGGGAAAAAGAAAAAAGAGATGCTATGGTTTATTGTTAAATATACCGAGAACGTTTGGTTGTGCAAAATGTGTTGTTGCTTTTATACAACTTTTGTTTATAACCACCACTTATATGTTTCCCTCCACCCAATACCCCTTGACCTCATTGGTTGTTCATCAGCGTTTTATGTTTTTCTTATATTCATTTTGATGGATCCTTTTACTGAGACTAGAAACAGTCATAACCGTTGATTTCCGCACTCCATTTTAGGTGGAGAAAGCCAGGCAGCACTATGAGAATCTCGAATTGTCATCAGCTTGTGCAGCTGTGCTAGAGATTGGCAATACTGGGAATGTATATATCGATGGAAAAGCGCCATGGTTACTTTTTAAGCAAGGGGAGTCTGCTTTCGAATCTGCATCCAAGGTTTGTGTGGGTGTGTTTGCATCTACCTTGTGTTTTTCGCTTAAATGCCTGAATTAAGTAATCTTTTAGTTCTTTCAGTTCCTCGGTTGTATATGGGATTAACAGTAATAGTAATTAATAAACTCTGGTTTTCATTTGCTTGTTCTCTGAATAGGACTTGGTAAATGTATTAGAAGCAATGAGGATTGTGGCCGTTGCTATATCTCCTATTACCCCAAGTTTGGCTTTGAGAATCTACACCCAGCTCGGCTTCTCCGAAGACCAATTCTATGCCGTCACCTGGGTCTCTGTCTCTCTCTCTCTCTCTCTCTCTCTCATGCTTGCTTGATCGCTCTCATTAGAATAATTTCGTAATATTTATAATCTCAATGATTGTTGCAGAATGACACCAGGTGGGGTGGGCTTAAGCAAGGTCATGTCACGGCTCTGCCAACGCCCGTTTTTGCTAGAATCGAGCTTGAAGCTGACTTGAAGGGTGACTCAAGTGAAACAAAGAAAGCAAGTAAGAAAAAGGAGAAGCAGAAGGCTCAAAAGGCAGTTGAGGCTTAGATATCATTTGTTCTCCGAAGAGCAATTTAAACCTCACCCGTGTCATAAATGGTGCGAATATGAATGTCTGATATGGCTATTGTGCACATGATTTATTTTTTCTTTTATATTTGTTGAGCAATAGCCAGAATTTGGTGATTCTCTTCGTATGATGATGATCAAAGTCTTGGCTTCGATTGCATCGAAGTATGATGATGATCGAAGTCTTGGCTTCGATTGCATCAAAGAGACATTGCAGTTGGGTAGTAATTTTGTTGGCATAGTACATTTTGATTCCGGTGATTCATTGCGACATAAATTTTATTTTGTTATACCTTTGTTCCTAATAGTTTTAAGTTTTTGCATTTCAGTCAAAACAGTTGCTCAACGTTTCATTATTCCCAAAAATAATATTTAAATATTTAACGCTAAGCTGCCAGAGAAAATTGGTGCAACTTCGAAAATTTCCAGCGCTATTGAGTTCGTGCATTAAAAGAAAAGGTAATTCAGAATTCAATCCCAACATATATATCATACATGTATCAAATGGTTTGAAGTTTGTACAAGAAACGTTCGTATGCTATTAAATCTACACTCAGTCATACACTAAAATACATATATATCAAATTCCGAATTCACCAGCTACTCATGGGCAAAATCACAATTCACCAGACTTCCCAACATATTCTACAGACCACACAATCTCCACAGGTCGAAAACTTATAAAACACACACAAATTTCAATCCGAATTTCCTCCTCAAACGTTCCTAAGGTTGACAGACCTCGTAGCTTTCGAAGCAAGAGCTAACGCTTTCGCTCTTGCATCTGTTCTTACCCATTCCCTCTCTGCACGCCTTTGATGTTGCCTCACGTTCTTTGCTCTCTTGGGTGCTAAACGAGTATCTCTATCTAAAAATGCTAACCTGAACTTTTCAGCCACAGATAATTCATTTGGACATGCGGCTCTTAGATGAGCTGTCCTGGTGTTATTAAACCCAGACACTGCCCAAGTTTTTGGATCAATGTCCTTAACGACTGAGTCATCCAATGCAAATTGAGAAAATGCTTCTCGAGGAATTTCGGTGCCCTTGAAACCCATAAGGGATGGCTTTGGGTTGACTGCTATTCGCGGGCATTCAATGGTTAGCGTCTCCAGTGAATCCTTGTCGATATTTGGCTGACATAAGAACGAAAAAATTGGCACTTTGACAAAATAGATACAAGATGTTTCACTAGTTTTGCAAATATAGTCACAAATTTTTTTCGAGTCGAAGCGAGATTTGGTTCAAACATATCTGGAAATATTAGAAAATCGAATAGGAATAATTATTTAGGTTTGAATCACTAATTGATGCAGATATGTATGAATACTCACACATTTGGTTTGAATGATATTGGAGCAGTCGAATTCAAATATTACGTATTTAAAATACTTTGCTAATATATGTTCATATTTATTAGCCCAGTATATATTTCTTACAGTAATCAAGTATTAGCTCAGTCCTGTTCAGTTCATTAACTAATTAATGTAGGCCATCTACTAAAGTGAGTCTATGTATTTTGCATAAGATGATATACTTTGAGATTTGTTCTTGTTGTGAAAGCTTGCCTCTACGGCTATCATACTGTATAATCAAAGTTCCCTCCCAAACGAAATAAAGATATATTTGATGTTTGATTTTCTATAAAAAAAAATAAAAATAAAGAGTAATTCGAGGTGAAATCCGGTTGTGAGCATTAAAATAAACATTGTTGAATCAATTCACACTCATTTTCATATTCACATTGCAATGTTAAAATGAACACGAAGTCTAAATACTCTACATATTTTTCGAAACTGAATTAATCATATATAGATGTTAGATTCATTTGTAATCTTATTTGCAAATGAAAGAAATAAACATACCCAGACGAGCCAGCGCAGAGAATGAGCACCGTGCGTGAAATCCACTTCATCGAGCTCCTCCCATGATTCACCTTCCACATCATTGAGGTCAGGCTTTAAAAGGCTCAAGCATCTGCGGGCAGTGTAGCTGCTCCTAGGGCAACCTCTGCAACATCATCGAACTTTCTTAATTGCTAATCTCATCCTATTGCTTAAAGTTCCTAATAACATCATCTTATCTCACCGTTTGCATACTATTCAAAAAGACTGCTAATTTATATGTGGGTCTGTGTGTGTGTGTGTATTTTACTTTTTTTTTTTGCAGTAAATTATAAGTCAACTGACTTAAATTCTTTATAAAAAAAATTCTCTAACCAACATATAAGCTATTTCTACATAACCTCCAATAAAATACAGAAAACTGATTACATTTAGGAAAAAGCATGGAACTGACTATTCATTGGGAAGAAAACTATGCATTCTTATGTTTCTGCACGAAACAAAGTTGAAGGACTTAGACTGTCACCCAGATTAAAAGCCTAAAGATATTTACACACAAAAAGAAGAAAACAATAAAAGATACAGATAACATAACATAACATAAATACATAATATACGGGAAAAACAACTTTATTGGCACAAAAGTCCATGCACAGCGAACAGTCATGCATCTTAATATAGTGATAATTAATGACTAATCTCCATCCATCCTCTACAGAGGAAAAAATGCTTAACAAACTTGAACTCTTATGTAGATCACAAAAACCAATTCCAGAGTTACCAATTTAGCATATGATTGGCTAACAAACTGAAATATGTTAACAAATCATCTCATGCAAGAGCTCTTTCTTATTTGCCATTGATTACCTAAACTCTTATATCAACTGCACATGATCCTCACTAATTACTCCCAGACATGATTTCCCGTTATGCTACACATATATAAGAACTTAAGCATGCACGCAGCAAACAGCTTGAGACGACATGTAAGGACATGATGCAATGATAATTTTAGTTTTAAACAATTTACAGCAATTGCCTTAGCTTGTCTGAACTTCAACGTTTCTTTTGAAGCGATTCATAACTCTAACCACTTTTTTTTCCTATCACATGGCATATATGCTTAGAAATATTGTATCTAAAGGGCATCAACAAAAAAAAGGGCATCAAGCTAAAGCAACATACAATATTGTAACTCGCGCATTCAATGGTTTTAATGGAATAGAGAGTACCCCCATCTCAATATCTCAAGTGAACTGCAGCGTTGAAGAAGCTTAGAAATCCCTGCCGACGTAAGTCTTGTGCACTGGCTGAAAAATGAAGAAGCCACAATAAAAGTAAGGACTAGAAAATGCAAACCACACATTGGTTATAACAATGCAACAGAAAATCATTTAGTAAAAATTTGTTTGTTTCAACATGATAGCCCTCTTGACCAGCAAAGTTATCTTAACACACTAAGTTCTGCACAAGTAGAGGAAGAAGTTACCACTCAAAGCTACCTTATATCCACTGCTTTTAGGTTTTGGCAAATGTCCACGATATGACAAAGCCCAGAATCTGAAACATCAGAACCAGATATGTCTAGTATTTGGAATGAACTATCACCCAAGGCTATAATAATCCCATCATTCAGCAGTTTTCTTCTTCTGGCAACTGCCAGCAATACCATCTGTTGAACCATTTCAAGTAGAATAAATAATGTCAAAGCCACACAAAAAGAAAAGGGTTACAAGAACGAAACACGGGAAGGTAAAACTGAGAACAGAATTATGAAACGAAGGTTAGAACTAGAGTTTTTTGAGTCGGTAGACGTGGCGTTTAAGTGCAACCACCCATGAACAAAATCAATACATCAAAAATAGCAAAATCGACTTTACAAGGATTCACAATTTCCACCTTAATATCCGAGGGGAAACTGTAGGAAATCTCAGCCAAGTCATCTACAATGTCCTCCAGATTGCTACCTACGACCCCCAAACACAAGCTCAACAAGCTCGGCGCCGACTTTCCCCTGTTCGAGGTAAAATAATCTGCCAATAATCAATCATCTGTCAATTCTACAACACAAAAGAATAAAAGAGGGTTGGTCTACATCGAGTTAGAGTTCAATTTCAACAAAATCTATTTTCTTCCAGCATCAAACGCGTACCAGATTGAAAAGCAAACCCTAATGGATTTCGGGTCAATTTTGAATTGTGAGAATTATTGTCCAATTCCAGATTGCAAAACGCAGCGGTCACCCTTCCCGTAGAGTCTTTGCCTTTGCCCTTTTCCATAAACGACGTAAAAAAGGCGAAGCGATAACGATGGTGTTCGGCGGAAAAACCCCCGGAACCAGTCCCCGTCTGAAATTATGATTTTCTTTGTGTTGTGCTTGGTCCACGATTCCGGCGCCGACCGAAGATTCCGGCGTAAGAAAATTTCACTTCGATTGTTGTACAGCGAATTTTTCGATTGTTGTACGGCGATAGTATATATTGATCATAATGGGCTTGGTCGACAAGAGGCCCGGCCCGACATTTTATATAAAAGTTTCTACTTTATACAAATGACAGTTATCCTTGGTAACTGTCACACTTTCGAACAAATTAATTATACTCAACTGCTATTCACCGCCCCCCTTTTACTTGTCACCGCCCCCCAATTACTCTTTTGCCCTTAACCTTTTTTTGGATTTCATCTCTCTAAACTTTATCTCTCTAAATTTTCCGAACTTCAACGAACGATTCGAGCATCAAAAAAAATCCGAAAAAATGTCGAAAAAATTCTACGGCCTCGGCAAAGGATTCTTCTCCGACAAGGTATTTTTTTTTTTTTTTTTTTGAGCCGAACTATTTTTAAAAAATTTTTTGAAAACCTGTTGAACCGTCCGGCCGGCGGTTCCGG